TTTTTCCGATAATACCCGTTTCCCGATTTCCTCACTTGGGTTTGTTCAAATAAAAAATTTAGAATAACTGGTGGGGCAGTTATTTCTGTATAAAAATGTGTATTATCCAAAAATTTGTAAAACCAATTCACTCATTATCGCAAGTCAATGCCCAAAATGCTCAAATAAATAGTGGCTTTATAATATATACAAATACTATACATACTAAAAATCTATGATCCATAGTTCATCTTATAAATAAAATATGTTTCTTGTATCATCATTCAAAACCGTTTCTAGACAATGAACGTGTAATGTCAGAGCTCTTAATCAATGAGAAACCATACATGAGGAATAAGGGACCATTCATGATGCACCATAAGGAACATTCATGATACTTAGGTATTACGTAATACTTCAGCTGGCCTTGGGTGAAAAGGGGCTGTGATGATCATCTCTGTCTGGAACCCGTAGGTGTGGGACTCTGACATCCACCTCCTAGGGCTCATGCGCCCCAAGCTCTGCTTCAGGAGGTTGGAGTCGTTCTTGCCCTTGCTGGGATGGTTTTTCTCCGACCCCAACCACGACGGTTTCCGGGTTTGGAGTCCCTGTGCCGTCTTTTACCAACTTCGAGGTAAACTCCAGAGCTGGAGCCCCTAGAGCAGTTTATTGTTGCCTTCGACCTCGTTCTGACAGTTCCTGTGACGATGCTGGAACGAATCGTATTGGCGTTTATCTTTCCATTGGAGACTTTTGGTGCCATAGAGAGGTGGGGGGGGGGAGACCTGCTGCATGGATGACAGCCTCTTCCCCGTATCAACCTACCCTGGCTTTGCATCCTGGAGAGGCCACTCCAGACCAACAACCTGAGCAGAACTCCATAGTCTCCTGAGACTGATGGATGCCTACTACTAATACTGTACTTCAGAATTAGTTTCCTTAGAATTTATAGAAATACCAGCCATGCATATCCAAGCAAGGTCTCACTAGTGCAAGTTGATATTTTCAGATACTGTAGCATTAGTACAGCATTCCTACTGATAACACTTGCTGATACAGTATACTGTATAACCAAATATCCTATTGGCTTTATTGCATGCATTAATATCTTGTCCTGATGTTTGGTTTTCACTGATCATTTCTCCCACATCTGTTTCATGAGCAAATTTACTGAAAATGCCAAATTAAAACTAATTATGTTGACATTCTTTTTCCCATTCTGACTTGACAGTGCTATCTGATACACTGAAACTTTACTTTTTAAATTTGCCAATTTGACATTTAATGTTAAAATGTAATATCAAATACTGTGACACCTCGGCTTACGAACTTATTTACGAACTTTTCGGGTTACGAGGCCAATTTCTTCATACAATCCTAATTGGGTTACGAGCTTTGCCTCGGTAAATGAAGTTTGTTGATATGCGTATGGTCGACCTAGCACATGATGGCACGGCGGTTGCGCCTCAGTTTACCAGTGCCTCCCACCTAATGATAATTGCATCTGAATTCTTTGTAAAGAATTAGTTTTTTTCAGATTCTTGGGTATTTGAACATACAAGTTGTTATTATATATCTCACCATGGGTCCCAAGAAAGCCAGTGGTAATTTTCAAACCAAGAAAACACATGTTAGAATGACCACAGAGGAAAAACAAGAGATCATTCATAAACATGAAAATGGTACACGAATTGTTGAACTAGCTAGGCAGTACAACAAATCTATGTCAACGATATGCACTGTACTTGCTAAGAAAAAGGACATTATGAGTGCTAAAGTGGCAAAAGACATATCAACAATCACGAAACAAAGAACACAAACACTTGAGAATGTTGAAAAGTTGCTATTAATTTGGATACATAGCAAGGAGTTATCAGATGGCCTCTGATAGCGTTTCAGAGGCCATCATTTGTGAGAAAACAAAGCAATTGCATGAAGACCTTTTAAAGAAAACCCTTTGAATGAGTGATGCAGATACAAGAGAGTTTAAGGCAAGCAAGGGATGGTTTGAGAAATTTAGAAAAAGAAGTGGTATTCAGTGTTGTGAGGCATGGGGAGGCTGCCAGCTCAGACAAACCAGCAGCTGAAAGATTTATTGACGAATTTAAAGATTTGGAAAGGGACTCCCCTTCCATACACTGACACCTCTCCTCCTCCCCCTCCTCACTGTCTTCCATACGCCAACAAGAGTCATCAGTAAAGGTAAGTAGTAACGTGTACACACTTTAGTACTGAAGACTTGGGTGAATTAGGTATAAAATTTACTTTGAAGTTAATTTTTTGGAGAGTCTGGAACGGATTAATTAAATTTTCATTATTTCTTAAGGGGAAATTCACTTCAGTTTACGAATATTCAGCTTATGAGCTGTCTCTGGGAATGTATTAAATTCTTAAGCTGAGGTACCACTGTACATATTATGTTTTGTTTTGTTTAGAAGCTTCGTTCAGCACAATCTAACTTAATTAAAATGTCCCTGTTTTAAGTAATTAACACAACATCCTATTGAATATACACAAATGTTGAACAAAATTTACATACTCTGACATTTCATAATTCCAGGACAACTTGCAGTAAACCGTTTTTTTATTTTTTTGCCAGTGTGGCAACAACACTGGTGCCACACAAGCAACATTCTTTAAACCGTCTGAATAGAACCGAGCGTATCCAGAGTGTTGTTGTCACATCTTTAGAGAATGGCGTATTCTTCTATCTCCTATCCCTTGACCAGATGATGAGGCATCACAAGACACTCCACAGCTCTCCAGGCCACAGGGCAATGCAACTTCCCCAATACATAAACAAGGTGTTTCAAATGGGATGCAATGGAATTTTAATATATAATTATTTTCAATGCTATTCAACCTTAACACTCCTCGAAAAAATTTAACTTACTGTAAATTTTGTAACTGAAAAAAATAGAACTTACCTTCAGTGCTATAAATAGAAAAAATTACATTCTTCATTTTATACTATATAGTATATATATATAAACATGCAAAGTAAAAACTACAAATTCAAACGAACCATACTGAAAAATAACTAGGAGTACAATATGAACTAAGCAAGGCAAACTACAGGACTAGCATAAAAGTAACAGACTAGGCAACTACACTAAAATATTAATCTTTATGCAACTAAAAGTTCCAAGCTTTTAAGTTAGGTTGTGCTCAATGAAGCTTCTAAAAAAAATTAGAAATACAGTACTACATACTGCACGTATTAAGAATCATAATCGTTCAGAAAGTCATTGTCCGATGAAGCGATCTATATATTAGTTCACAAACTATACACTTATCGCATGACTGCTTAGTTTAACTTCCAATGCAAGTACGAAATCATTAACCCATTCTAGCCCGATGCAATTTTAAATCGTGCATTTTATCTCTCACAACGTATTACCAGACACTGGTACATTACACTGCAATATCTCTAACAACCATAATCATGGTAATGTTTCAATAACTGTTATGCAGATATATAGGTAACTGATTCTCAATATAGACCCAAATAAGGTCAAAGACAATACAAATACAGGGTTAGACTCATTACTTTTTAACTGTACCCACACTGTACCACACTTGGCAGAGGGCAACCCTAATTGTACCCACACTGTACCACACTTGGCAGAGGGCAACCCTAATTGTACCCACACTGTACCACACTTGGCAGAGGGCAACCCTAATTGTACCCACGCTGCAGCAAATTTGGTGGGGAAAATACAAATTCTCAAAATGATACTACCTCTCAAGGAATATAACTTTTTCACAGCGAGAAAATTTAATTTTGTAAATTATTAAAATTTACCTCACTCCTGTCCAATCACTTGGGTTGGACGGTAGAGTGACTGTCTCGCATCATGCAGGTCGTCGTTCAATCCCTGACTGTCCAAGTGATAAGGGACCATTCCTTCCTCCCTGTCCCATCTCAAATCCTTATTCTGACCCCTTCCAGTGCTATACAGTCGTAATGGCTAGACACTTTCTCTTGATAATTCCATTCCATTCTCTCTCTCATTCCCCTCACATTACTACTTGGTGACAGCCTTCCTGCTGTCCCTCTGCTACTTTTTTTTTTTTAATCCCTATAACTACTGTACGTTTTATGGGTATTGCATAAATAATTCCCATAATACTGTCCCAAAAATCACTACACTGATTATGCAAACCAAGGAATCATTATCGTATTATATGAATGACAAAACATGCCATGCAGAGAGTTTAATTTTTGCTTCAGGACCAAAGGAACACTTATTTAAAAAGATTAAAGTCTCAAGATGCTTAATAGCTTTAAATTTAGGCATGATTCTTCATGAAAATACCAATGTGAAATGAATCGGTACTGTAAATGTTATACAAGTAACAATGTACATACTGTATTTAACATGTTATCAGGCCTATCCATTCTACAAAACAATTTTCCCAACTTTCTATCTGCACTCTTAGTCAACTACCAGTTCATCTCTCAAACATATTTCTAGGCACTGTAACTAAATCAAATTCTTTACTAAAGTTATAAACAAAATAGCAAATTTTAATATTAAAACAATATAGGATCTATCAATCCATATATGCACAGAAGCTGTATCTTTTCAAGTGTTTAAAAAATTAAAAAAAAAAATAAAAAAGCATAAAGCCAGAAACCTGCTCTACACAATAAGCACTAACATTTTACCTACATCTGCAAAATGTTATACTGTACAGTATTTATACTCCTCTACAAATACTGAAATTACTGACACCCAGAATGAAAGACTACTACAAGGCATAATAGAAGGGCTAACCCAGCGCTCTCATAGTTTCTCCTACAACAGGCCCACTACATCCATATCAGCGTTTAGAGTAAAAAAAAAAAAAATTAACAAAATCCGAAGAATTCTTCAAGAAGAATGAGGCCCTTGAGCAGCTGGATTAAAACCACAAAGTCCGTTCCAAACAGTTTAGCATGCCTCAGCAAAACAATGGCTCTCCGGTACAAGCTACGATGCCGAGTACTAGATGAGAAATGTTTTTAAAAACAATACCTGCGAGTCTATTGGTTATCTGGGAAGATTCCAGAATGGGCTCCCCTGAGGTGGGGTCTGAGTCATCTTGAGGGGTAGGGAGAAATATACTACATTATAAAAGCAGTCAATATTCAAGACAAACCATCATAATCAGTGGACTGGGAATCAATACATAGGTAAGTGGGCAATTACAGTTTATATTGCATACTTATTGAAGACAATACTATATAGTCATTTCTTGAACCCTATAACTTTTACAAGTTCGAGAACCCTTTCTTGAACTTGTAAAAGTTGTGTCGTGCTGACAGTTAACCTGTAAACAACAAGCATACAAGATGGAGTCCTAGTTAATTTACAACACAGAAATGCAAAAAGGAAAAAAACTAAACTTATTCACAGCTAAAATTATTTGACTCTGATAGAAATCAGAAATACTACAACATGGTAACACGATAATTTTGAGACCAAAAATGGTTTGTCACAAAAATGAGAAATCATATTCAACACTAGGCAACTAGGCATCCACAAACCAATGTTCTGTTCTTCCACAATACGGAAATAATTCACTAGACTCAGCTTTACGGTATTTGAGGATCACACATACTAACATGCCAACTTGAGATAAGGCTAATCACTACAGGACGTTCCAGGCTTGTTATCTCATTGGGTTCATGTCTGTGAATGGCTAGATATTCTTCCCTAGCAGCAAGCTGCAGTGCTTTCATTAGCATAGCATAAACAAAACATATTTAATAGTAGCCAATTGAATGCTGTGTTGAAAAAAATAATGGCATGTACATCTGAACTCGAAATAACCGGTTACCACGTACCATGTACAGCTAAATACAAATAAATAGAACATCAGTGTAATGAAATGCCGCTTTTTATGCAGCTCTTCAGTAGCTCCACAGAGCTTATGGCACTAGTACTATAGTCTCTCTCCTTCGCACCTCTCTTTCCTCACTGGTGGCGACACAGGCCAAGTTGGCTTACTGAGGTCCCCCTAGGACTACTGACCTTCCCCAGGATGCAACCAACAACAGTTACCCAACTCTCGGGTACCTATTTAGTGTTTGATAATAATAATAATAATTCATTGTGTCGGGGGACAAGGAACCCGAGTGTATTCATACATATTAGGCTTTTATTGAGGTCACACCCCACCCCCACGATCAACTTACTGACCCCGGCCAGAATACAACCCTACCACAAGCTGACTAACTCCTAAGTACCTACTTACTGCTAGGTGGACAGGAACACTAGGTGAAAGGCAATGTGCCCAACAATTTCTGTCCCGCCTGGGATTCGAACCCAGGGTTCTCGACTGTGCGTCGAGATTGAACCCGATTGTACTACCGTGACCCTAATGAACAGAGGAATCAGGTGAAAGGTAACATGCTCGAACATCTCTGTACTACTGCAAGAATTGAACCGGAGACCAGAATCTGGTTCCCTAAAAAAAAAAAAAAGAGAGATGAGCGGCCCCCTGTGATTTCACCCTTTTACCAGAGCCCTGTTTTCATGCCTTTATTCATTACAGGTGAAAACGTTAGGAAAATGTTTGTTTCAAATGGCTTTTTAATAGAAACAAAATTATTTCCCTCATGATGGTTCCACAGTGAGGAGGCTCAGGTGAGGAAACTCAATAATTGTTAATATGGATGGGATATTATGGATAGTAATATAGTCATAGGAGTGAATCGATACCATCTACAAATGGATTAGAATTGCTATTTTTCGCATCTGGAGATCGATGTCACCAGGGAAGGGTCCATTTGATCAGACCACCACTGTGCATTGCTTTCACGAGGCAACCTGAAGGGATGTCTACCTCTTAGTTTGACATGTGTCATTCAGCTGGGCTTTTATGACGAGCATTCCTGGCTTCCTGTCCCAGTCGAAGGTAAATTCAACTTAGTATGCTTATATAAAAAGACAAAGGAAACCATATTGTATCATTTACTTCCACGTCCACTGATATGATGGTTCATGTTAGGATAGTTTACAATAAACTACAACAACAACAACAATAAAAGAATACAAGACATTCAACTGAACAAGTAAATTGAGAATAACTGGACATAACTTAAGCCGTAAAAAAAGTTTTGCAATTTACAACTTGTGTGCTTTCTTTAAGATAGACACTAGTAAAAAAAAAAAAAAAAATTTTTTATCAATAACAAATACACAACAGCTTCTGATAGCAAACACAAAAGAAATCTATGAACAAGCTGACTGAAAGCATTCTATGAAATAATACTTAAGTCACAGAAAAAAAACAAAATGCAGGCATTGGTTAACAATCTGATAACTATAATCAAATATAACACTTACCCTCGCTCTCGCATGTAAGTCCATCGGACATCAGCATGAGGCCGTCTGGACAAGCACATGAAATTTTGGAAGCTTGAGCAGTCCTTTGAGGTGCAGGGAGACACAAGTGAGTGCAAAGACCATTGAGCGGAGTACAGTGATTTGTGCCATTGGGTTGCCTATAGCTATGATACACGTGGACAGTCATTGGGGTCTGTAACAATAAAAAAAAAAACATTTTTATGTCTGCCATAACCCCAATCTGCAACCTACCAATGATCCATCTATAGACTGTTACACTAAGATGAAAAATTTAATTCTCAAATAACTTTGTTAAACTAAATATAGATGAATTAAAAAAATGGAAGGTTTGGGTTGTGAAAGAGCCTTCCTGGAGGCTCCAGGAATCTCCTGAGAGTAGAGCATATGAACTATGAGCAATACATGAAAGTAAGACTTTTCTTCTGCCTACAGTAGGCCTATCAAGAACAAACTGGTCTCATTCTTCTACCAAAATGTTTTGCTATTGTAGTGCTTTGCAGTATCTAAAATAACAGATAAACATTAAATACTCTCCAGTTCATCATTTTTGCAAGCAGTGTCATACTGTAGCTATCTCTTCTCATAAGCCAAACAAACAATAAATGCATAAAATCTTTCATATTAGGTAGACTAGGAGCTCATCTGCTGTATAACAGGTGAAAAGCAAACCATGCTATTACATTACAATTTTTTAAATATTCTGTGATAATTAATAAGTTATGGTAGTCATCAGGAAAAAGTGCTAATCAAGTATGACAAAATAGCTAGGGAAATTAATAAGAAGTTACTGTACTTAATCTAATGAAATTAAAGAAAAAAAAACATCAGGTCAACTTATAACAGGGGGCATAACTGGCAATCCCCTCACAGTGTTCAAGAGAGAACTGGATAAGCACCTCCAAAGGATACCTGATCAACCAGGCTGTGACTCATACGTCAGGCTGTGAGCAGCCGCGTCCAACAGCCTGGTTGATCAGTCCAGCAACCAGGAGGCCTGGTCGACGACCGGGCCGCGGGGACGCTAAGCCCCGGAAGCACCTCAAGGTAACCTCAAGGTAAGGTAACTTACCGCATGCGAGTGAGCGATAGATATAACATCCTGTCCAGTGAATTTGTTGGCTCGGAATATTGCTTCATTACGCCAATCACTCCAGTACATTGTGTCTTCAAATACTGTGATTGAGAATGGGTGGGGCAGATAATCTGTCGAGTGAAGTATCACCTATAGTGAAAAGAAGAGAACAAGCTAATTAGACAAACACAACAGTGTAGCAAATTTGTGCTTTGCGCAACATTTCTAAATAAATGATAAAACGGTAACCCTTGTACTGCACATAACATCTTAAGAAGTTCAACCCATGGTGTGAATAACATCTTAAGATGCTTTCAGTACCTTGTAGCTTTTAAAATTTCCACGGTTCCGAATCCAAGTTTGATGCCCCTAGTAAACATCTGCCATCTTGAAACGTAACTAAAGAACTTGGGGACATTTTTTCTGTGCCCAGGTTATACTTTTTAACAATATTGGAAGACAAAAAAACTGATCAATATTTTTTTCTGTGCACATACAGGTAATGCCCGATGTAAACCTTGCATAACCAAAGTGTTAATGCCAGGAACATATCATGTACACCAGGGGCCAGATTCACGAAGCACTTAAGAACCTGTACATCTTTTCTCAATCTTTGGTGGCTTTGTTTACAATTATTAAACAGTTTATGAGCTCCAACGCACCAGGAGGCTGTTTATAACAATAATGACAGTTGATTGGCAAGTTTTCATGCTTGTAAACTGTTTAACAAATGCAACCAAAGCCGTCAAAGATTGAGGAAAGATGTGCAAGTTCGTAAGTACTTGCGTAACTGCTTCGTGAATCTGATCCCAGGTGCCCCAAAAAATATAAGAAAGTTCTCTTTTTGCAAACAGAATGGTAGATGTTAGGAACATGTGAGAAGGCAGTGGATGCCAAGAGCATCAATAGTTTCAAAGATTCATATGACAAAGATTACTGGGAAGACTGGAGACCATAAGCATAGCTGTCATCTTATAACTACACATAATTACTTAGGTAATTATATGCATAAATCTCAATCTCAAAAGACATTTCTTTGAATATATAGCAGAAAAAATACCTTAGAGAGTCAACTTTTTGCAGAAATGGTACCAATATCTAACTCTTACACTTAGAGTGCATTAGTAACAAGGCAGGCATCAAATGCTCAGTTTGTGTAATTACCTGCTCATCTGGGGCCAGATTCACGAAGCAGTTACACAAGCACTTACGAACCTGTACATCTTTCCTCAATCTTTGGCGGCTTTGTTTACAATTATTAAACAGTTAATGAGCTCCGAAGCATCAGGAGGCTGTTTATAACAATAACAACAGTTGATTGGGAATTTTTCATGCTTGTAAACTGTTTAATAAATGTAACCAAAGCCGTCAAAGATTGAGGAAAGATGTACACGTTAGTAAGTGTTTGCGTAACTCCTTCGTGAATCTGGCTCCCTGTTCGTTAACTGCCAGGTCTTAGTCTTGTTTGTTAACTGCCAGGTCTTAGTCTATGTTTCTAGTAATGGTAGTAATGGACCACTAACCCCCCCATAGTGCAAACCTTGGCCAGACTTCCATAATAGAAGCTACAGGATAGGATAATACAAAGCCAATGCAGAATTTCTTGAATTACAGGTACTGTATAGTTATTTGACAATACCTGAAACTACTCTGTGCCCCAGGCCGGGCTCGGGGCACAGAAGAACTCTCAAAACCTCATCCAGGTAATACTGTCCCTTAATATCTTAAGTAAATGTACCAAAAGTATTTTTAGGCAAACTTTGCTCATTATAAATGCAGAGCCATTTATTGATCAAATTTGCTTAAATTTTAATTACTGTATATTATTATTACAGTTACTACTACTGAACAGTATTAACATTCATAAATGTATACAGTAATTCTTATGTACTTTGTATACAAAGTAAATTGTATAAATTATTGCTACTGTTAATATGTTTAGAACTTCAGCTGTATTCACAGGCAATATTTTATATGATTAGAATTATAAATGCTGTACAGAACTTTAGACGTCCAAAATAATTTAGATTTTTTTTTTTGACTATTAAAGCTGCTAATGCACAAAACTTACCCTGCGGTTAGAACCATCAAAGTCGCACGAGTAGATGGTGTGGTACTTGGAATCTGACCAATATATCTTTCTCAGAACCAAGTCAATGCTGAGTGAATTGGGCCATCTAATATCTTTAGAGACAATGACCTGTAAAATTGAAGATATTATTAGAGCTGCTGATAGTGAACAGTAATAGAATAACAGAAACATCACACATTTATTACACACACACATTACACACATTCCTTTATAGACATAATAATGGATAAGCACGCTACTTTACCAGTTACTAGAGGGGGAAGGGGTTATGGGCAATACTTGGGGTGATAGAAGCCACATCTTCACTACACTCGATCACTGAAACCATCTTTATTACACACAACTATCATCCCTATCTTTCTCTACACACAACCACCATCCCTAACTATTTTCCCTATACACAACCCCTCGACGCTAATCACACAGTGCATAACCGTCTTCGTCAAGGTAACCACCACCAACCTGCATGAAGCGAGACTGTCGCTCTCCAGTGCATAACCGTCTTCGTCAAGGTAACCAACACCAACCTGCATGAAGCGAGACTGTCGCTCTACCGTCCAGCCCAAGTGGATAAGTATGATTGCGGGAGAATGCTCATGCTTGTTTATCACTGATGCCATATTATGAATGGTATAGTGAGTAAGTAATTACCATAAGAAGGCATCATCCTAGGAAGACTATGTAGAGCCGTCTGTGTTGCTAGATACTGTACAGGTATTTGAAAGGTCCTAAATATCACTCAAGATGCCACTATGAGAACAAAAGCAAATAAAGCAAGCAATGCGACATTCTAAGAGGTGGTGCACGACTAAGTTAAATGGATGAGGAATAATTTTGGTACAATCTTTAACCTCCTTTTGCCTTACTGTTTGACACTTTTTCTGGGTTGATACCTACCAACTTTATGAAAGCAAGAAATAATATAATGATTACGTATAAAAATGCATTAAAACCTGCTAAATTGTTACTGGAAAAATATAGATTGAGACTCATTCCCACACATGCGTGGCATTACCTTCACCTCTGCACCTATTATTTTTATAATCGGCCAGTGCTATGTTTCTCCATTAGATCAGAGTGTTCTCTTAAGAGCCAAAATATCCTTAATAAAGAAATGTTTACTCTGAACTTGGTGTGTTTCTCTGCGTCACTGTCAGAAATGTGTGCACTATTCAACTAATTCTACAGATGACAAATAGATTAAGAGCCTCAACTGTAGACCTCGGACCATCGTACCTGTCGAAATTTACCATCCATGCCAGCACTCTCAATCTTAGCCTGCTGCCCCCAGTCTGTCCAGAACATCCAACCCTCCGAAGGGTACACAGCAATGGCACGAGGCTCATCTAGATGGTGTTGGAAGAGTGTCTTTCTCATGTCCCCATTGAAATCGGCAACCTGGGGAAAACAAAAACCATTAATATCATTAACTGGATTACACACAGATATCACAATAGCGTGATGCATCAAATGAACAAATCCACAAGGGCCATGACGAGGGTTCGAACCCTCATCACTCGTAAACTTAGTCGATTAACCCTTAAACTGCGCATGACATGTATATACGCCATGAGTAACATGTCCCACGGTGCACATGGAGTATATATACGCCATAGGGTACCAGGCACGATTCAAATGGCCCGCGGCTACACGGGGTTCACATAAGCTTCCTCCTCAGGGCTCTTGTAAACAGATGCCATGTTTAAAAAAAATCGTGGGCAATATTCTCCGGTGTGAGAGCCACAGTACTGTGGGAGCAACCAAGGCTAGCGCATGCAGCATGAACTAACAGCATTGCTGTTCAGCTTGTGACCACAGCATCGCCTAAAAATGTCAAAATAAATATGTAACTGCTATTATTTAGCAATGACAGTATTACAGATGACCCCTGACCGTGATAAAAATTACCAGGACTGTGATAATAGCAGGATTGTTGTGATAATTAGCGCTGTGGGAGGAGTAATGCTGAGGGGCGGAGAGAGATAGCATCGTTTACCGACTGTGTAATTACCTAAGTGTAGTTACAGGATGAGAGCTATGCTCGTGGTGTCCCATCTCCCCAGCACTGTCATATAATGCTTTGAAATTACTGACGGTTTTGGCCTCCACCACCTTCTCACCTAACTTGTTCCAACCGTCTACCACTCTGTTTACAAAAGTGAATTTTCTTATATTTCTCTGGCGGCTTTGTTTCGTTAGTTTAAATCTATGACCTCTTGTTCTTTAAATTCCAGGTCTCAGGAATTCTTCTCTATCAATTTTATCGATTCCTGTTACTATTTTGAACGTAGTGATCATATCGCCTCTTTTTCTTCTATCTTCTAGTTTTTGCATATTTAACCCTTTAGTTGCGCAAGACAATATATAATTCTTTGACCGACTTCCAGTAAATTGCGCATCGCATCATATGATGCTTTAAGAGTACTACGCAAGATTTAAACGGCCCGCGGATACACGGGGTTCACCACACCTTTATCAGGGCTCTTTGTAAACAGACGCCATTTAAAAAAAAAATTGTGGGCCAAATTCCCGGGTGTTAGGGGCCTCAGTATTGAGTGAGCTACCAAGCCTGACGCACGCAGGATGAGCTCACAGCACTGCTGTTCAGCTTGTGACCACAGCATCGCCTACAAATGCCATAATATACTCGTTCATGCTATTATGTAGCGATGATATTATTACAGAAGCCCCCTGACTGTGATAAATCTGATCAGGGTTTTGATAATAGCAGGACTGTGGTGATATTTAGCACTGTGCTCCATGGAGGGAGGAGTAATGCTGTGGGAGGGAGGGTGATGGCGTTGTCTTCTGACTGTGTGTGGCCACCTTTTATTGACTGCACTCACCATACCAGCTTAGTGGTTCGCTATGGTGAACACAAATGTAGATACTTGTATATAATGTGTGTATAGAGGGTATAAACAGCAATAGGAGTAGGTTGGGAGCCGCCATTTTGGTGAGGGAGGTGGCATCGTCTGCACGACTTATCATGTTGTTTACTGGTGACGACTATGATCTTTGGGCACCATACCAATTTACTTATACAAGTATGGTGAATAAAACAGGTAGATACTTATATATAATGTGTGTATACGAGGAGTGACCGCCATACACCAGCCAGCCACTCACTCCCTCAACACCTCACTCGCCCACATTCTCCTCCCACCATACTGCTTTTGCTTTTATTCACTATATACAGACGTTATATATAAGTATCTACATTCGTGTTCACCATAACGAACCACTAAGTTGGTATGCTGAGTGGCAGTGGCAATGGCAGCCAGTGGCAGCCCACCACTGGCTGCCACTCCCTCCTTCCCACACCTCACCTGATTTGCCACCATTCTCCTCCCACCATACTGTTTTTGCTTTTATATACAGACGTTATATATAAGTATTTACATGTTTTGTTCACCATAATTGTACATCTAAGCTTTTACGGTGAGTAAAGGCACAAAGACGTAGCTACTCACACAGTCAGCTGGTGGCGGCCGCCCTCAAGGCCAGACACATTAACATTTCTCCTCCAACAATACTGTTTGTGGTGTTATTACGCTATATACGCACATTATATATAAATATCTACCTTTTATATTCACCATACCTGTACAAATAAGTGGGTATGGTGCCCAAAGACCATAGTGGCCACCAATAAACAAAATGATAAGTCATGCAGACGACGCACCTCCCTCACCAAAATGGCAGCTCCCAACCTACTCCTATTGCTGTTATTACACTCTATACACACGATATATATATAAGTATCTACATTTGTGTTCACCATAGCGAACCACTAAGCTGGTATGGTGAGTGCAGTCAATAAAAGGTGGCCACACACAGTCAGAAGACGACGACACCACCCTCCCTCCCACAGCATTACTCCTCCCTCCATGGAGCACAGCACTAAATATCACCACAATCCTGCTATTATCAGAATCCTGGTCAGTTTTATCACAGTCAGGGGTCTTCTGTAAAACTATCATCGCTAAATAATAGCATGAACATATATATATTATGGCATTTGTAGGCGATGCTGTGGTCAAGCTGAACAGCGGTGCTGTGAACTCGTGCTGCGTGTGTCAGCCTTGGTGGCGCTTGCTCAATACTGTACTGAAGTTCTCACACCCAAGAATGTTGGCCTGGATTTTTTTTCTAGGTAGCATTTGGCAACTATCGGTTGTGGCTGCACTATAGCTGCCCCTATTCCAGGTGGGGCGTTTAAATTATACTGTAGCGCTAGACACAAAATGATATACAGTATATATGACATGTGCGGTTTCGGTTTTGTCACTGAAATCATATAAATATGATTTGCACGGTTTAAGGGTTAACTGGAGTAAATTAATTGGTCACGAATTATTTTTTCCATCTGGATTATATATAAGAGAGAATGTCTGTTAGTCTGTCTTTCCGCTTGCCTGTCTGTCCAATCTTGGAGGCCAGAAACTTCAGGCTAGCCTCACCCAACTTTACAGGGTGAATGGTCTGGGGTACAGGATGTATATAGGCTGGTCGGGCCCAATAGTGATAACCTCTACATAAGCGGTGAAAGGCGGCTGGCAAAGTCCCCCAATTTCTTCACTCGAAAATAACAACCATGAATTCTGTATTACATTTTCTGAGATAGATATATGGAGGAGAGGGGAGAGCAAGTAGACTACCCCCCCTCCTCACCATCTTCCATATGCCAACAGCAGTCATCAGCAAGGGTAAGTAATAACGTGAACATACTTTTGCAGTAGAGATTTTGATGAATTAAATATAAAATTTAGTTTGAAGTGAGGCTTTTGTGCAGTCAGGAATGAATTAATTCATTTCCCATTACTGTACTACTTATGGGGAAATTAGCTTCGGTTTACGAGTTTTCGGGTTACGAGCTGTCTCCAGGAACGGATTAAACTTTTAAACCAAGGTACCCCTGTAATTGCGTTAGTTTACACAAATATACCATCAACTAATTTGCCTAAGTCATAATAATAGGATAACATGTAATATATGTAATCATGACCTGAATACAAAAGATTTAGATTTAGATGCTTCAACTGTATACTAAAGATTTAGAATTAGAGGCTACATTTATCAGCAATTCAAAAATCATTAGTTGTCAAATTCCTACCTCTTGCACGAATTATTATCTAATACAGGAATGGATTATCATTCTATCCAATTGCAGATGCTTTGCCTATGAAAGTAGACTTGGAGCGTAACATTCATCACAAAGTAACGTGTAACTACAGTACTGAAGGTGAACAAGTTGCATACCTCAATGGTATCTGTGTCTGTGTTGGTCCAGTAGATATGATTGTACAGCCAATCGACAGCCAGACCATCGACTGTCGTTACGTCATCAGAGATGACTACCACCTTTTTGCTGCCTTCATCTATGGGGGCTCTGAACAGGGAAACAAAAATAGATTTGATTTATAATGTACAGAGAACAAGTCACAATAATGTAGCTGAAACAGATAACTCAACCCACAAATATGAAATAAACATGACAAATGTTTTGTTCCATCCCAAACCCTCACCAAGTTGTGTCACAACTTGATAACAAACTACAAGGGACCAAAGGTAATTATCTAGATATACACATACAAAGCCATTTTATGCCCGAAACGCTTTGCGTAATAGTGGCTTTAGGCATTGTATGTACTAGCTCTATCTATAAATCCATCAATCTTTGTAAAATCTCTTGTATGTATGTACCTTACCTAAATAAACATTTATTTATTTATAACTATATAGCACTTAGATATGAGGATAAGGATTTCGAATTGGATCATTGTCATTTTCCTCTCAAATGTGTGGGTTGCGTTAAATTATAACACACTGTAATATTGATTATGCAGGTGCGGAAAGACGGGCAAATGTATTCAGGAAAACAACAAAAGAGAGAAGACGTACAGACAAATTTTGGAGAAAATATTCTGTAAAAGGGTAATACAGACATGTAGAACTGAGAGCAGAACACTGCATAATGCTGCTATTTGAATGGGGAGAAAAGGGGGAGCTACTTGGGGAGGGGGGAGAATTTCTTACCCTTCAAGCAGCTCAAGGTGGAGCTATTTGAACGGTAATAAAAGGAGCGATACTTGAATAGGGAAAAAGGAGGAAGCATTGTATGATACATTTAATAATAAGTACATGCTGTAGAATTAGAACATTTGCACTCACTTGTAAATACATTTTTCCCGGACATCTGTCCAGAAGATCATTCCCGTCTTAAATACAAAATCTAAAGCTGTAGCCCCTTGTGTCTCATTCACAATTGCTGTAATCTGGTAATGAACAGAAATTGGTGTTTAAGTTACATTGTAATGGTAAGACTATACTGTAATTCATACATGTACAATATATTGTTTTTATTATATTATTATGAATCTCCATCCTTCATCTCCTGGGCAATCTGTATTGCATGTCATCACACACTGGTTTCGCTCCCCATCTCAAAATCTAAAGAATACATTCATCCCTACACTTATTTAATAGTGACTTGTTCACTTTTACTATACATCAATTCTTTAACCAATAAATTGAGTTATTTGACAATAATCATTTTTCCACTCTTCTCATATACAGTATTTTAATATTTAATTCAAAGTGTCAGGGGGACAAGAAGCCAGAGTGCATTCATACACATTTGACTTTTGAGTTCTTCCCCCCCCCCCCCCCTCCAAGGCCGAATTACTGACCCTGCCCAGGATGCAACCAAACAACATGCAGACTAACTCCTGAGTACCTACTCACTGCTAAGTGAACAGACACATTAGGTGAAAGGAAACGTGCCCAACCATTTCTGTCCCACCCGGGATTCAAACCCGGAATTCTCGACTGTGCGTCGAGAACGAACCCGACTAATACCAGGACCCACGATGGAATCAGTACAGTACATATACAATGTACTGTACCTGGGTTTTGGAAGCCTAAAATTTATTAATTACACCTACAGACTGAAGGACATTCCCCTATTCCTTTAACATGGATGATTTGTATTGAAGTGAAGTTCTGAACTGATGCACTGAAGGACATACTCCTTCAGCTCAGCCTCCTGTTTTGGTAGTACTTATATAAACGATATGGACCATAGACCATAGTACATACGCCGACGTACGACGAAATTAGAAAGTAGAAATCGGCACTATTGAGTTGAACAAACTGGAAAACTATTTTCTATTTATGTGGCAAAGAGCAACTAAACTAACCTAACCTTACTAGGCCTAATATATGATATCTGAGGCCTAATATAGTACATGTGTGTGCTATACTAGGCCTAGGAATATTTAAGTATGTTTTTTTAGCTTAATTTTTTCCGACTCTCTAAAGTGAATATTGCAAAGTTCTACTATCCAATTGCTTAGAATGGCAATCTTTGTACTATGGTGCACAGAGTTACAAAAACTACTATCTAAACAGGATAACAGGAGGATAGGGGAATGGATTGACTCCTTGCATATTTATTGCACACAACTTCCTTCAACTGATTAAGATTCCCCAAAAACACCTCTACCTTATGTTTAAATTAATATTCAGCACTTCAAAATCTTCAGTAAACAATGAACACAACACCGTGAATCATAACTTTCTACTAATTTCATGTTTACCCCAGTTATGGCTACATTAAAGTGAGGCAGACACCTTATATCAAAGTTCCTATATTCATGCAAAAATATGTAAATGTCTTATAGTAACCTTCCAAGCAATACACTACATCAAAACAATATTTATCATTGTTAGTTACAATTGTTGGCTTTTTCTGAATCATGTCAATACATACTTATTCATTTCTTTTCTTGATATATCATATTTTGGCAAGAACCTCTGCAACTCCACAAAAATGGAGAAGCATAATACAGTATATAAAATAACTATAATGATTATGAAGAACTTGATGGTGAATACCAATGTAATAGTACATAGTTTAATTCAAATTTACAATGCAAAGATCATTAAATAACTCGCATACCTCCTGGTGATCAAGGGATATTTTCCGAATATCGGTGAAATGTGCAAACAGAAGTGACGCGTGGCCCTCCATAGCTTTACATCGATGATGGTTGTGTGGGTCACGGGCGTAACCGTCGACACATTCACACTTGAAGCCACCTTTGAGGTTGACACAGACCTGAGAGCAAATACCAGGTTCCATGCACTCATCAATATCTGAAATGGAAAACATTTAGATTTACATAAACAAAATTAACTTCAATATTAATTTTGCAATAATAATTTTTAGCAAATGCTAAAAATACAAAAAACTCAAGACAGTAAAATATAATACAACATAAATATTCAAACCAGCAATAATAAATATAATTGGATCTTCTATTTCCTTCGCTTAATGGCATGCTAAATTATTCCCATCCACTAAAAGACTTACAAGTTACTGCATCACCTCAATAGACTTAACTTTTTAAACACATTCTCACTCGCAAATTGTGCCAGAAAAACTATCATGATGTTTGCTTCACTAACAAGCTGGTTACGACCATTAACTAGAGTCTGCTAACTCTTATGATCAATCCTTGAAAGCAAGAAATATCATGAATACCAAATGTATCCTACTCAATTCTTTTAACGTCTGTTGCTGTCACTTGACAATAGCCTTGACACCCCTTCATACATACTGATCAATGAGGAAAAAAAGAAAGATACTTGACATAACATCTCATCAACTGTGGTCAAGTAAACATGCAAGAGAATTACAACTTACCTTCGCACTGCGTTCCATTTACGAGCATGAAACCTGCTTTACACTTGCAGTAGTGTCCAGCCCGAGTGTCGACACAAATTTGGGCACAGCCACCATTTCGATCTTCGCACTCGTTCCTGCCACACGTGTTATCTATAGGTTCATCGGCTGCGTTCCCACAATCATCGTTACCATTGCAAACCAGCTCCATAGGAATGCAATGGTTTCCACAATTAAATTCAGATTCTTCTTTGCAAGCTGGTGCTGTAAAAACAACATCCTTTCAGCTATGGAATGCTTTGGAATCGTCACAAGGTTTATTTGATTTCATATACTGTACACTGGAACTCTAATGTAGCATTAACACCTAGCTACTTTTATAATGGAATTCACCTTTTTATCTTATTATCTATATATTATAAAACTTTTATCTAGATTAAAATACAATACATTGGAAATTCCATAAATATCTCATAAAGACCCACACAACTTAACCATATATCGAATACCTTACTGGAATCTCCTCAGACACTATAAATCTCTCTCTGTACACAGAAAAGCGCTACTGAAGAAAAGCCTATTATTTTCCATCATATTTTCTGACCCAAAGTATGCTCTGTCCCACTGGATGCCAAATGAATTTATAAGCAAATAATTAGGACATAAAATCTTTGATCATTCAAAAACATCTTTAAGATTGGAACCTTATTGCTGAAGAGCTTAAATTTAACAAGCATGTTAATATTAAGGCTACATACTGTACTAAATTATACTACAGTACACTGTATAACACTTCAATTAAGAGCAAATATCAAGATTCATTCATTTAATAACAGGAACCACATCCATTTTTCTATCAAATTGATGAAGACAAATATACAAAAGAAGGACTTCAACTTGCCACAATTCACTTCATCCGACTCATCAGAGCATTCAGAGAATCCATTGCATTTTAATTTTGAAGCAATACACGACTTGTCCCCACACATGAAGGAATCATCTGGGCATTGATGGGTACAGGTCTCATCCCGTTCATCATCTCCTTCGGGACAGTCCGTATCTCCATCACATAACCACTCCCGGCGGATACACTGGAACCCTCCTGCACACGGATACTCATCAGCACTGCAAGTGGTATTCGGACAATCCTGAAAATGAATGTTTGGTATATACTTGAAATATTGTCCCAGATATCTAAACAAAATTTATTGATGCACCCATATACCCATATTACCATTTCATATATGTATATGTGTGTATTATATGTATGTGTATATTATATATATATATATATATATATACATATATACATATATACATACATTACATACATATAATTATATAAATACTGTACACTCATCCATTGCAATATTAGTAACCATTTATATAAATATATGTATATACACACACACACACACTACTTATATGTTTCTTGTTTATGTCTCACTTTGTGTCATACTTAAAACTGATATGTGAAGAAATATTTACAATGCCAATCAAATTGCCACACAATGTACACCTCAAGACTGATGAGCACAACTCCTCCAAAAAACAACCACATTTATCTTATTAAATTTTTGTATTTACAGTATTTGTATATACAAGAGTTTTTACATACTTGTACAGCCACTAGCACATGCAGCATTTCGGGCAGGTCCTCAATCCTAATTTTCCCTGGAATATGACCCCGCCAAATCGTTTAACAACCAGGTACCCATTTTACTGTTGGGTGAACAGAGGCTACAGTTAAGGATTGGCATCCAGTGAATCCTCCCCGGCCAGGATACGAACCCAGGCCAAAGCGCTCGCGAAACGCCAGGCGAGTGTCTTACCACTTCACCACAGGAACTGCCTCATTAATTCCCTCTTTATAATCTACCCACCAGACCCACTCCTTCATAATAATTCATTGTGTTAGGGTACAGGCAGCCAGTGTGTATATACATACTGTATTAGGCTTATATTGAGGTCACCCCAAGGTTGAACTACCAACCATTCCCAGGATATAACCCCACAACAAACCAACTCCTGGGTACCTTTTTACTAGGTGAATAGGAACATTAGGTGATAAGAAATGCACCCAAGCAATTCTATCTTGCCCAGGATTGGAACTCACAATCATTTGTTTTCTCTAGCAATCTTGTACCTCTTTAATTAGCATAGTTTAATATCTACATCCAGTGTGAAGGGCCCCATCATAGCTCTACACCCACAGTGTGGCCTTTATTTATTTATTTATTTATATACAAGAAGGTACATTGGGTTTATGAGAATACATAGCATAGTATTTACAATCTTGTAAAGCCACTAGTACGCACAGCGTTTCGGGCAGGTCCTTAATCTAACAGATAATTTTAAGTAGGTAAATTCTAGCAGAATTAATAACAGATACATTGAAAGAAAAAAATGAGATGAGAGAGATTAGTAAGTATATTAAAGCACATTGGTATATTAAAGCTTTGATTGATTACATTGACAGCTTGATTGGTAATTTAAACAAGATTAATAGACACCATACAGCAGATTGATAGCACATAAGAAGACAGCAATGATCACAATGATAAAGATGTTCGGACTGGGTACATAAAGATTGAGATTGGCCTTGTCATACATCTACACCCAGTGTGTGGCCTTGTCATACATCTACACCCAGTGTGTGACCTTGTCATATCCAACAACATAAGCAGGTTCAGCAACACTGTCCTGTTTATCAGCGTATTGCTACCACCACCCAAATAAAAGCAGCAGAACTGAAAGATTCATGTAGTACAGTACATTCATGATGAACCAAACACAGTAATCATTCTTTGGTCAATGAAGTGCTGGAAACAGTAAAATTGTTCATATAATACATAAGAAATAGGGATAAGAACTGATTCTTGAGATACAGCGACAAGATGGTAATAATGGTCCAACAAGGGGGCAAAAATATTATCAATATGAGCCATATGCAAGATGAACCATTTGTGTTATCACTCTTGAAACCATCATGGAAACAGTTCATAATATGGGATAAATCATCTCGATTCCATATTACGGAGCTGCCTCCATCCTGAACACAAGTTTCAATTCTGCTTCTAGTATCCTCGACAATTATCTTGACTGATTCCAGCACAGTGCACATCTGCCGAGCTCCTCACTGGTTGATGGAAGATGTAATAACCCAGAGATTTAGGGGATGCACACCACCATTCATTCCATAAAAGTTCAAGGTCACTCTACCAGCAAGAAAGATTATGTAGAATGTTTTGGAAGAATAAAACTAGATTTAGTACAAAGTTCCTTCCCAAATGCTATCCTGTTTATGAAAAAGTATTCCATTCCCCTGAGGAACTTAATACATTAAGATAAAATCCCTAAGATAAATAAAGATAGGGGGTTCTAGAACAATGCTCACTTGCATATACAGTAGCACAAATGTTAAGGAAATTAACAAGTAGAAATCTGAAATACAAATGTAAAATACTGAAATGCAATGCCGAGGTAAACAATTGTAATGGGCAGGAGGTCCAGAGGTGGTGAAGCCTCCTAGAGTCACAATTTAAAAACAAGTATGACAAGACAACTAGAAACTAAGGAGTTATAAATGCACAAGGTACAATAACTATGCACCACGGTCCAAAACCTAAATCTCTCTATAGGTACAGTTAGGTGAACATACCAGAAATAAATAAAGGTCTAAGAGTTTCGAGCACTCTCCCTCCCTACAACTTTGACCTCATGACCTGTGAAATTCAACCTATGAAAAAAGTGCATGTCGAATGCAGGTGCCTCGTAGCCTGGTGGGTAGCGTGCAGGACTCTTAATTCTGTGGCGCAGGTTCGATTCCCGCACGAGGCAGAAACAAATGGGCAAAGTTTCTTTCACCCTGAATGCCCCTGTTACCTAGCAGTAAATAGGTACCTGGGTGTTAGTCAGCTGTCACGGGCTGCTTCCTGGGGGTGGAGGCCTGGTCGAGGACCGGGCCGCGGGGACACTAAAGCCCCGAAATCATCTCAAGATATACTCAAGAAGATCCATACTAATGACGACATTCAGGAGGCAGCTATAGAATATTGACAATGTAGTCCTCCTCCTCAGAAATAAAATGACTGGCTGAATGCAAGTATAGTACACGCGCGCACACATACACACACATACATATCAAGAGATGAGAGACTGGGAATAAAAATTATGTAGAATTTATCATTGGCTATCTGCCTTAATACAATAGTTCAAACACAGTGTCTTATTTTCATACAACTTCCTTTCATATCTAAACGAAAGAACATCAGGAAAAATGCACAGAACGTTTACAGGTACAAAAAGGTAATAAAAATATGATGTATGACAAGGTAAATACTCTGGGTGCAATTGAGTACAAAAAAATGTACTCATGAAAAATGTCAGCACATGAGATAATGCTAAAATATTACCCAATTGTTACTAGTGAGAAAGCCTAATACTTCCAGTTGATATCCAATATCAGAAAACGAAGAAACAACAACGTTTTGGTCGGTCCAGGACTATTTAGCAGTTCACAAATTCATGTTTCAGTAGACATGGAATTCTTCTGTTAAGACAATAAACCCAGTATAAAATAATGCTATTAACTTTCTTACTGAGTATATTTATATAAATAGAACGGTACACATTCTTCTATCTTTGCCACCTGCTTTGGTTACTCCAGAGCTAAAAAAAGACAAAGAATGATGAATGTCATGTGTGCTTAGGCCATTTAATACAAAAAACAAAAACAAAATTGTACGAGTATAGTTGATAATAGTGAGAGCCAGAAAAGTATAGTTGATAATAGTGAGAGCCAGAAAAGTATAGTTGATAATAGTGAGAGCCAGAAAAGTATAGTTGATAATAGTGAGAGCCAGAAAAGTATAGTTGATAATAGTGAGAGCCAGAAAAGTATAGTTGATAATAGTGAGAGCCAGAAAAGTAAAGTGTCTGGTCCGTCATAAGATCGGGATACAAGTAACAAGAAAGTAAGAGGTGCAGTCAAAGAGTTACATGAAGTAATAATAGCCACAGCAGTGCCTACTATTACCCACATGGTGACAGTGCATGTACAGACCACAAGGAAAGAGACCACAAGTGGAGACCACAAGTGGAGACCACAAGGAAAGAGTGCAAGTGGAGACCACAAGGAAAGAGTGCAAGTGGAGACCACAAGGAAAGAGTGCAAGTGGAGACCACAAGGAAAGAGTGCAAGTGGAGACCACAAGGAAAGAGTGCAAGTGGAGACCACAAGGAAAGAGTGCAAGTGGAGACCACAAGGAAAGAGACCACAAGTGGAGACCTCACAGAGAGAGTACAAGTGGAAATATCACTTTCACAGGCCCCAAATATGCAAGTGATACAATATAACTCCCTGAGCACCTTAAGTTCAGCTAGATCTAATTTATCTATCAGCAAGCTCTTCTTTAACATACTCTGCATAAGCCACCCTTAATAAAACTGAATTAATTGCTGTAGCAGCATCTAATATGTGATGACTCTGATTCCACTTCTTTACTGCCAACTATTTTTACCCAATTTTACATTTCTCCAAATTATTTCATGTGTTTTTCTTTATTCCACTACAGAATATGCAAGCATCATCAAACATGACTTCGCTGCGTTTTAATTCTTTACCAAACTGATTTCTTATCTTTTATATCAACAATTACATTTATTTTTTCCCCCACTTCATGAGAAAAAGGGGGAAATAATAATAATAATACACTGTAATGTATTTATTAAATTTATTTATTATTGTCACTTTATTTCGTCAATGCTTGGTATTTTTTTTTTTTTTTTTGAGATATATACAAGAGTTGTTACATTCTTGTACAGCCACTAGTACGCGTAGCGTTTCGGGCAGGTCCCTGGAATACGATCCCCGCCGCGAAGAATCGTTTTTTGTATTTGTATGCTTGTCTAGGAAAAGCAATTCAACTTGTTGGATATGCCAGTGCTGTAGACTAATGATTCCCAAACGTTATAGGAGTGTGCACCCCTTCTCAACTTTCACCCCGTCCATGACCCATCAACGGCTATAATTACAGTCAAATTAACATACCATTAGTTCACAGAGAGTAATCACACTAATGTGACTGCAACAATGAGAAGATCCATAGGAGCAGTAATGAGGGTAGTTATTGCTTCATGAGAAAATTTAGTTTTATTTTCTACTCGAGTCCAACTGATGATGACGATGCCATATTAGATTATTGTTTATAACACTATCATTACAAATATGTGTTGCCGCAAACAATAATACAAGGGATCTCTACTGTAGATAGCAATTGTATTATAAACATGGGTTATGACATTGAAAACTAAATACAGACTAGAAAGCTTACTACTACGTAAGAACGTTGTGCATTAATGCCCAATGCTACACTGCACTTAAGTAAAAAATAATCCCAACCAATATTGACTATTGAGGCATCAACCTTTATGATAAATGTGCGTGAAGAGGCAGAGCAACTTAGGGGATGAAGATTCTACATGCACCTCCTGATATAACTTATCTAACATACAAAAGTCAGGAAAATTTGTATCATCTACACTATGAAGCAGGGAGGAAAAGTTTTGCCTATGGCATCCCACTGTGAGCAATAAGATCTGTGACAGGATAGCGGTGTGCCAGTGCCATAGCTGTCCTTAACCTGGTTGAACTTCCTAAATTCTAATTACCAGGTGAAATTATTCAGATTATTCAGATTCTCAGTAACCACATTTTGGTTACCTGGGAATCTAAATAATAAAAATCTAAATTATAATGTTTTGAGTACAATTCAGTATATTGTATTCAATAATTTAATCATTAAACAACAGATTACGTAGCTAGTCTAGTCAGGGAAAACGAACCACAATTTATTTAACCAGGTCTTGGGTGAAAAGGCTGACAATGTAGTACAGTACATCAAGATACAGACTTTTCCAAGAAGATCAATCAGTGAATCAAGGAGCAATATAAGGCCCTCCACCTTCCTTTACTTATGAAACCTCAGCATTTCTTACATGTTCATCTGTCCCGTTGAGACAATCGTCTTCCCCATCACATCTCCAAGATTTCTCTATACATTCCCCATCTCCGCACTGCATCTAAGTAACAAAACAAGGGAAAAACAAATGTTGACATGTCACATACGAAAGGGAGTTAGTCACTGCAGTTCAGTTAGCAATGTTTCCTTACATGTTCGTCCGATCCACCGATGCAGTCGTCTTTGCCATTGCAAATCAGGCTGCGATCTATGCATGACTCGTCTGCACAAGCCACCTGCAGGGATTACAGGTCATGCACAGGTTTATGTAAGAGAGATCATCATCAATCTGGTTAGAATTAACAGACTAACAAGTCAAATGACAGTCCTTACCCTTTCCCTTGTCTGAACAATATAATTTTGAATTATGATTAGGAAATAGAATTACAATATTTGAAGGCACTATGAGGTATAAAGTTTTACATTAAGAAACTACCATTAAATGATCCTCATGATAAACTACTCATTAAATGATAGAAAAACAAAAATTATAAGAAATTGTATTTATGTGCAAAATGCTATCCCAAACAATGAGGTGTTACAAATGTACAATGAAGTGTTGCAAATGTACAGTGCTGTACTGCATATCTTGAGTAAGGTATAGAACCAAAGTGTTTGAAGATCCAGCATACAAGTTGAACTACTATTGAATGTTCAACAACCAACCTGTGAATATGTACAGGTACTATTCGGACAATTTGTTTCGTCCGAGTGGTCATCTCCTCCACAGTCATTGTCTCCGTCACAATGCCATCGTTTTGAAATGCACATTCCAGATGCACACGTGAACTGTTCCGAAGTGCAGGTAGCATCTGCAAATACAGTTAGTCATTATTCAAACAACATTAAACTCAGAGTGTAAATGTTGAAGTCTGTCACTAGAGAATATTATAATTTACTAAAAAAAAAAAAAAAAAAAAATTACGTAGAGTACAAAAGACAGAATTTCGAACTTAATCTAGGACATATCGATGAACACATTATGATTACACTATCTACTGACAGCCAAGCTTATATTATCATCACAATGTAAAATCATTTTTGTCCCTTAATAATGTAATTTTCTGATTGCTTATGGCTCCAAAGTATAGAAAACGGCTATAACTTCCCTTCAAACATTTCTTGACCTTTGCCTAAGACAGCTTAGGGAAGACATCTTGAAGGTACCTGAAGGCTGCCGACTTATAAATCAATGCGTCACAATTCTAGATAAAAGAGTCGGCAGTCTTCAGGTACCTCCAAACCGTCTTCCCTGAGCAGTTTAAGGCAAAGATCAATGCAAAGTTTCTATACTTTGGAGGCATAAAAAACAACACTACCCAGGGGGGATAAAATTGTTACATAGTGTTTTATTGATATTAAGGTTAAACATGATTTAAAATGTACTTCATAAGTAAAGTAACACCTGGCCAGAAAGGTAATGCTTGGCAGTCTGCAATGCTACATACAGTCCTATGGTATGAACAATTTGATTAAAGCTTTTGCCAGTTTCAGCACAATAAGTGAGGGAGTAAGAAAGGGAACGCCTACACTCGCTACTAGGTTCAATTTATATTCCTCACTCATGCGAGGCCTCGCCGCCTTTATCAGATGAAAACCGGTACCCCTCGCCACCTCACTCGGGTGAATACCTGTGCCCCTCCCCCTTTCCCCTCACTCGGATGAAAACCTGTCTCCTCCCTACTCTCTCACTCGGGTGAAAACCTGTGCCTTAGGAGGAGTGCAATCAAGGCAGTCTTCTCAAAATGCACTTTTCATACACTCGCAGCATATTTTTTCTTAATAACTGCTCGTTTCTGATTATTGGAGTTCTTATATGCTGTAATATTACTGTACAGTACTGTACTTTGAATAATTAAAATTTTTACTTTTCATATAAATTCAGAATACAAATACAGTACAGTAAATACACTTAAGTACAAAACTTAAGGCCAAGTAAAAAGCTTAAAAATGGAAAGTAATTTGAACTATGCTAAAATGTAAAACTAAACATATAAATAATGAAAAATACATAATAACTAAGCATAATAAGAACAAAATAAAATTTAAAACAATCTTTCAAGGTCTTGTCATATGATTATAGGCCAATAAAGCTTGTAATTTATTAGCTTTCGGAAGGTAAACTCTTTCAAAATGAGTCAATCTACAGGTATAATGAACTATAATGGTGGCGATGAGTCACAATAACGTGACTAAAGTATGTTGACCAGACCACACACTAGAAGGTGAAGGGACGATGACGTTTCGGTCCGTCCTGGACCATTCTCAAGTCGATTGAGAATGGTCCAGGATGGACCAAAACGTCGTCGTCCCTTCACCTTCTTGTGTGTGGTCTGGTCAAAATGAACTATAATGGTATACAGACCCCTCATACTCAAGTCACAGTGTCACGATGTAAGGTACGGTGGATCTTGTTTACATAGCTGGGGAAGCAACCGAGACTGCCTCTATACTAAACTTATATCATCAATTCTAAAGGTATCCTTGTTTACCTGATTTACCCAAGGGCCACTATCACTAGCGGCCTCGATGAGGAGAAGGTGGCGGCGGCTTCTTGGCCTCGATGAGGACAGGAAGCCGGCGGCTTGTCAAATATCTCCCATTTGCCTTGATAATCTTTCCCAGTTTTATTTTGAAATTCAAAAAGTCTTGGCATTTATGGCTTAGGCGGGAATGCGGTTCCATGGGTTTATAACCCTGTGGGTGAAAATGCATCTCCTGTTCTCATTCCTGTATTGTGGCTTGTCGAGTTTGAATCTATTGCTCCCTTGTTTGTGTCATATTAAACCTTTTGAAGAAATTTTCCAGATCAACATCCACAAAATTGTTCATCATTTTAAAACTTTAAATGAGATCTGCCGTGTTATGCCTGGTCTGTAGTGTTGTCAGCCCTGTGGCCCTCAACTGTTCCGGATACGAGAGATGACTTAGCTCTGGAATGATTTTTGTTGCCCGGTGTTGCACTTTCTCCAGAGCAGCTATGTCCTTCTGAAGTTGGGTCTGCATGTTTGGATACAGTAATCCAAATGGGGCTGCACCAGAGATTTATACAATTGAATCACCACCTTCCTTTCCCTAATGTCAAAGGTATGCTTGACTATTCCAAGGGTTTGGTTAGTTTTTTTTGACTTGTGGTGCTACCTGTTGTGCGACTTTCAGCGAGTGGTGGATTTTGACTCCAAGGTCTTTTTCTTCATCAATCTGCTGTAATGTAATGTTATTTATTTAGTAGTGGTGGAGTGGGTTGCTATGCCCCACAAGCAAGGTCTAGCATTTGTCAATATTAAAAAGCATTTACCAGTCTTCTGACCATTTGTGGAGTTCATGTAGATCTTTTTGTAGGGCACCAATATCATTATTTCCCACGTTACCATATATCTTTGTATATAGCTGTGGAAAGCAACCAAGACAGCCTCTATGCTAAATCTACAGCATCAGTTCTTAAGCATCATCTGGCTATGTGGGTGATGTTTTATGTGACAATTATGTCATTATTATTGCTATCTGACTGAAGAGCATCTTACTAAAGCTATCAGGGAAAGTTTAATTAGAAAAATTAGCTAAAATGTATCACTATATATTTTATCACTGAATGGTGATTGACGAGTGGGTGGTGTCAAACTTAAAAATCTCTGTTCTCACACAATGTGCTTTCGCGAATAAAGCAAATTTATAAATGCTGTACAGTACAGTATATTAATTTTTTACTATACTGCATTCAAAACAAGTACAGTACAAAAAAACACTAAATAAGACTTGGATAGCATAATACAGGGAATTTTGACAAGCCACTGACTTTGTCCCAATTACTGTCACTTGAGAATGTGGCACTCATGGTAAATTAATGTAAGTTTCTGGATAAAGTTGAGACAAAGTTTTCTCAAGTAAAAAGTAAAGATAAAAGTTTTACCATTACTACTCGTAGGTCAGTGTTCACCGACAAGCGGTAAGAGAAATGATCAGCAGACTATATACGGTATATTTATATCACTATATACTCTATGCCACATTGGATTTCTTGTATTTCAATCAATACCTTGTTTTCAGTCTCATAATGAAGAATTATCCAATAATGAATTATCCAAGCATAAAGGGGAGCTTGAAATACTTGTCCAGAAAAGCGGGATGTATATGAAATGGAATACAGTACTGTAATTCGGATCTTCGCTAGCAATTTCTTCAACAATTCTTTAACATTAGCTTACCTGATGTGCTCTAGTCAACGGACCTGATTAGACTACAGCTGACTAGAGCGCGTCTGGGAACATCCAGCACATGGCTTCGAATACTCATCAAGGCCCTTGTGGATTTGTTGTTTGATTTATCATGTTATTGTGATTTCTCTGTGTATTAGCTTACTTCTCGTATAGTATTAAGTGCTATAACAATAAATCCTTGAGTAAGTTATTAAAGTTAGGCCCGAAATGTTGTGCATAACCAGTGGCTTCATATAATATTAATTACTCTACCCATTATATAACCACCTCAATATGTCCAATTTATATTGTATGAACACAAAATTTACTGTTACAGTACTGTAAACGTGTGTAAAGTACTAATAAAACTTTTTTTTTGTGGTTGTTCTGTAGAAATTGAAATATCTGCCTCTCGCCAGAGTATCCCAATTGGGAAACTTTGATCAAAATGGATTGCGGCACTTTTTCAAACATTATGTAGGATGTGACAGGAAAGTATACTCCCTTAACAACAGCCTCACAGAAGGTGCATAATATGCTGGCAAAACTGTACTCATTTTGCCAGCATATTATACATGCACATACAATACATATATAGCGGTACATTTATTTTTTTCATTGTAGGAAGGAGACATTGTATTGTAAAGTAATGCATTACACATTTATCACAGCTGCTGTGGTGTCATGAGTTTATCTAGAAATAAATAGTAAAGCATAATAAAATATACGAATATATATATTAAATTAATAAAATGTTAATAAAATATAACAAAAAATAACTGGGATAAATTCACGAGCCTTCTCTTATATAAGTTCAATTCAGATTCCACACACTCACACGTGCACATATGCACGCTCGCTCCCTCCCTCCCTCGCTCGCTCACTCTCCTCACCCTTACTTCCATATTTCCCATATACACACACACACACACACACACACACACACGACTTTCAGGCTTGTATCGCCATAATCATTTCTTTAAACACTTAGTTTTCCTACATTCAAACCATGATTATTAGAGTATAGTACAACATTAACTACATACAGTAGTACTGTACTAATATTCTTATTGCCAATGTATATATTTTTTTTGTGGGTAAGTTGACCAGACCACACACTAGAAGTTGAAGGGACGACGACGTTTCGGTCCGTCCTGGACCGTTCTCAAGTCACAATCGACTTGAGAATGGTCCAGGACGGACCGAAACGTCGTCGTCCCTTCAACTTCTAGTGTGTGGTCTGGTCAACATACAGTACTTCAGCCACGTTATTGTGACTCATCGCCTGCGTTTGTGGGTAAGGTTAACATTTCTCCTACAGTAACGCAATTCTACATCACCTACTGTATGTCTACAGTTGCAAAATCTAGATTCAACCCAACTTGCTCAACTATTCACACCTTCCTGTTTCTAGTGCCATATCCTTAGCCAACAATGCATTCCTGAAACACATCTTAAACACATTACTGTACTATCTAACTAGCTGTATCAAGCTCTACGAGTCTACATCTCTAAATATATTTATACAGCTGTCTCAGTTCCTCATTGTTTGTGTCCCTCAGTGTCACACTTTGTCAATTCAATCTCAAATGTTCCATAGGGTTAGGTGTGTAAAGTGTTTATCATGAGTTAAGTACATGCATGTCAATCACTCATTAATAAATAGCTTCCACCTTGACCTGTTCTTTACAATTTCTCATTCAAGGTTGTTGTTACTAAATTTGTGCAGTTTCTCACACTCACTCACCGTATCTTCACACCCCCTGTTACCCTCTTACTATGAAATTCCTTTTAATATACTCTCTTCACCCCTTTATCATACATTCATTCACTAAGACCAGACTAGACCAGTACATTCACCTCAATCTTTTGGTTTGCCATCTTTATCCATTTCATATCTTCTTGTGGCATTATCATTCTGTATTCTAATTATCCTGTAAACACCACATAAGCTAAAGATTGTCCATTTCTACTGCTTATACTTTTAATATGTCACATTCCTACTAAACCAGCATTTTATGCATACATGCAACTGAAAATAAAATCAGCATATCTTTGATGATATTTAAAGCTTTGTAGCACCAAAACATACAAAGCTTCAAATGAGAATTTTTGTCTCGGATCATGGCAGGATATGTAATTATGTACTGTATAAACTATAAGTCAAAACAGAATGGAAATTTTGCTTATCAACTGTATTAAAATATTCTTAAAAATAATAAAAAAAAAAAATGAATCCTAACAGTAACTGATTAGTAAACAGATATCGCCAAAATTGTCTTAACAGATTATAACATACACATGCATATGAAACAAACAAAAAATGTTACACAAGCTTAAAAACTGTTGACTAGAAGTATCTGAAGTTAATGGCAATGGTTAATCACAGTTGCAGCCATCTGCAATGTTATTTATATTATCCTTCAGTTTACTGAACTGTTAAATCTCAATCGAGGTTGCGGAACAGCGGTTGAAAATAGTGATAAAGCTAGAACAACAACTGGTTGCTAGTGATTAAAAAAGTATATATTTTTGGCCTTCATCACAGAGCTTGGCTGCAAAGTTATGCTGAGAAAACTTACTTTTATCGCTCGAATGCTTAACAGACTTTCCTTCTTTTTTTATGTAAATTCTATCGTGTGAAACATCTGCTGTCTACTATTACTAATATTACTGTACTATATACTCTGTAATGAAAAGTTATGGCCCAGACTTCTGCTTTTAAAAAAATTCCAAAGACTAGTTTAAGCTACTGAATAGAACTTCATTTCTTCATTCGAAAAGCAGTTTTTTTTTTTTTGTTTTTTAAGAATATCAATGTTTAGCAGCTTAATAGAAAACAATAGAATGTAGTCTCTTACTACAAGAAACTTCGTCGGATTGATCATCACAGTCGGAAGCTCCATCACAAACCCAGTTTAGCGGGATGCAATTCGATTTGTTGCCACTATTGTGACAAGTGAATTCGTCTGCTTTGCATTCTATACCATCTGCAAGTAGAACAAGGTTCATGCATCTGTTAGTATAGAGTTAGCAGTGGAAAGCAAGTGGAAGCATATTCACAGGAGGATGAACCTACTGCATTTGTTGAGAACCTAACTTGGTATCCTCTCAGATTCAGTTCATGGCCTCGTGTGAAGTAGCTTTGGAAACTATCAGTTCCTCACCCAACTAGGATTAAGCAGGCGGCACCTTTATTAACTGCATCAGCCCAAACCAGTCAATATGACTTTTCAAACTGCCAATGTACAGCTCAAAGCAAACATAAAACATTTCATAGATAAGGTGCTGGCTGCCAAAGTTCCCAATTACTGAGGCCCTAATATACCAAGAAGCAATTCTGAGCATTCATGCAAACCCACAGCTCTAATGCCATATAAACAAAAACCACCTTTGTACTGAAGACTCAAAATTGCTCTTAACAGGACAGGTCAAAATAAGAGACAAACCCACCAAGCGCGCACACCCCACCCTTCTTACACCCTACACAGAGAGCGGCCACCAGCAGGCTTAGGCTACGGTGACTTACTAGGGCAGTTGACCTCATCTGATCCATCCTCACAGTCGGGCTCCTCATCACAGTGCCAAGAGAGGGGGACGCACCTCCCCGTCCCACACTGCCACATGTGGGTCTCCTCATCTTCGCACGACTTTACCACTGCATGTGTGTGGTACAGAAGCAACGTCAAGGAGGTGAAGACAGTTTTGAGGGCACTAAAGACAGCCTATGCCTTGCTTCAACTCTAGCTATACTGTATATGGTATGAAAACTCCTGGCCTAAGTATTTTACAACCATTATGAAATTTCCTCTGGGAAGGATGGCATCTCTTTCCATTAAATTATTGAAAATTAAAATTACAAACAAATATTTTCATTAAGAATTAAAGAACATTTTAAGTCAAATTAAGAAAAAAACACCTTAGGTTCAAAACACAAAATTTAAAAGCAAAATAGGAAAATAAATTAATAAAAATGTATAATTAAATAATGCATTTTTTTAAACGAGCTAGTTGACACTTGTTATAAGACACAATGCCAAAAAATAATTGGCATTACAGTAATGCATTCAAGCCATTGGAAACCATATACAGGTAATTATCTACATTCCTCTTGATATTTAGCCTCTCCGTAAGTGGTTTCTAATGCCATGGGGGGTTATTTAAACTTGATATTACCTTAGTGTAATACCAAGAAACCTGCAAATTACAACAAATCACAGAACTCTTACTATTGTCAATTTAGATACGGATCATAAGCATTTGATTTTTCACCCCACACCAAGGCTCATTGTGGATATCAAAATTGACTTTTTCAAGTTAATCTCCAACACCTGTTGTTCAATTTCCCCCAATTGTGTTCTCACGTGAGAGGAATGATGAACACAGCAGAATTAAGGCCTTGTGCTGAAACCAAATGTAATTATCAACTCTCACTCATATACTTTCATCCACACCATAATTTCTCACATATTATACATATTATACATTCTCACCTCAAATGTTTATGTTGAATCTACACTTGTTAAACAATGCTTTGTCAACAGTGTATTTGGTCTGTAAGTGCAAGCAATTTCTACACATCACACATGTCAATTCAGTGTATATAAAGTCACCAAGTTAGATTGGAAAATGTTTAATCATTGTTGTACTGCATTACTCTTGAAAGTTTGCCTCTAAACATTGCAATTACATTCTGCAAATCTACAAAACAGGACATAAAAACCAAGTTTAGTCGCAGTTTTATATTTTTACTGAGAGCAGCAGTATCTGTGGTGCATGCTGCACCATTATTGAATTTGCACAGTGCGCAGTTGCAATGCTCTAGTTATGCAACCATATTTCAAAATAGCAAAATACTGTAGTTTTGTAATTACTTTAATGATACAGAGCAGTTAGTTGTCTATAATATTATGTATCTTCTACTTGTCTACTGCAAAAACAAGTATACACTGTGTGTGTGTGTGTGTGTGTGTGTGTGTGTGTGTGTGTGTAATTACCTAAGTGTAGTTACAGGATGAGAGCTACGCTCGTGGTGTCCCGTCTTCCCAGCACTCTTTGTCATATAACGCTTTGAAACTACTGACGGTCTTGGCCTCCACCACCTTCTCACTTAACTTGTTCCAACCGTCTACCACTCTATTTGCGAAGGTGAATTTTCTTATATTTCTTCGGCATCTGTGTTTAGCTAGTTTAAATCTATGACCTCTTGTTCTTGAAATTCCAGGTCTCAGGAAGTCTTCCCTGTCGATTTTATCAATTCCTGTTACTATTTTGTATGTAGTGATCATATCACCTCTTTTTCTTCTGTCTTCTAGTTTTGGCATATTTAATGCTTCTAACCTCTCCTCGTAGCTCTTGCCCTTCAGTTCTGGGAGCCACTTAGTAGCATGTCTGTGCACCTTTTCCAGTTTGTTGATGTGCTTCTTAAGATATGGGCACCACACAACAGCTGCATATTCTAGCTTTGGCCTAACAAAAGTCATGAACAATTTCTTTAGTATATCGCCATCCATGTATTTAAATGCAATTCTGAAGTTAGAAAGCATAGCATAGGCTCCTTGCACAATATTCTTTATGTGTGTGTGTGTGTGTGTGTGTGTGTGTGTGTGTGTGTGTGTGTGTGTGTGTGTGTGTGTGTGTGTGTGTGTGTGTGTGTGTGTGTGTGTGTCTGTGTGTGTGTGTGCGCGCGCGCGCGCGAGCGAGAGAGAGAGAGAGAGAGAGAATTATTATTATTATAAATTATATATATATATATATATATATATATATATATATATATATATATATATATATATATATATATATATATATATATATATATTTTTAAACCATCGCTTGTCATGGTACAAAGGTACTAGTTTCTCTGTGATTAAAAAATAATTAAAATATTTGTTTATTAATCCATGAATTAGGAATCCAAGTTCATCAAGCAGGTCTTTGTTTTCTATCCTTGTGATACGAGGATGTTTAACGATATAAAACACTCCATTCCTCTTTGGGGGGGGGGGGTTCTAACGGCCATATTCCTCGTACTTTAAACTGATCTGTCGAAACAGACCATGTGAGAGGTTTCTTGTGAGTAAGTTTGTTGTTGACTTCAACCTCGTTCTGGCAGCTCCTGCGACTGCGCTGGAACCAAGCGTATTGGCGTTTGCGTTTCCATTGGCCAATTTCAGCAACGTGGAGAGGAGGGGGGGACCTGCTGCATGGTTAACAGCTTCTCCTCCATATCAACCTACCCAGGCTTTGTGCAACTCCATAGTCTCCCAAGACTACAGGATGCTTATTACTACTGAGAGTAAGGACACGCTTCTCCTTACTGTGAAAGTCTCCCCCCTGACACCTTAGCCATGCAAGCTGATCTAGGATCACAATCCCTTGTGCCTTATCAAAGAGTCCTTTCATGTCAATAACAGCTGAGTACTTAGCTTTGTCCTTTGTTGAATAATTAACTATACAAATGGCGGTGCTCCCTCCACTAAAATTGTCGTTGACCTCTTTCTCTTAGCCTACTTATTTTAAGTGACAGAAGGTTTAAGATGATCCTTTCAAGCATTTTGCCTTTGCATGATATGAGACTTAATAGATAAAGTATATATTTTACTGTACTAATAGGTACAGTATATATTGTACTGTACTAATAGGTACAGTATAGGTACAGGTAACATTTATCCATTTTGTGGTCGTTTGTCATCAGGGGATGCTATGCGACTTGTTCCTTGGCTGGCAGTGTATTGGCTGGCTGGCTGGCTTCTGGCTGGCAGTGTCTGGCTGGCTTCTGGCTGGCAGTGTCTGGCTGGCTTCTGGCTGGCAGTGTCTGGCTGGCTTCTGGCTGGCAGTGTTTGGCTGGCTTCTGGCTGGCAGTGTCTGGCTGGCTTCTGGCTGGCAGTGTCTGGCTGGCTTCTGGCTGGCAGTGTCTGGCTGGCTTCTGGCTGGCAGTGTCTGGCTGGCTTCTGGCTGGCAGTGTCTGGCTGGCTGGCAGTGTCTGGCTGGCAGTGTCTGGCTGGCAGTGTCTGGCTGGCTGGCTGGCTTCTGGCTGGCAGTGTCTGGCTGGCTGGCAGTGGCTGGCTGGCTGGCAGTGTCTGGCTGGCTGGCAGTGTCTGGCTGGCAGTGTCTGGCTGGCTGGCAGTGTCTGGCTGGCTGGCTGGCTGTGTGTGGCTGGCTGGTTGGTTGGCTGTGTGTGGTTGGCTGGCTGGCTGTGTGTGGCTGGCTGGCTGTGTGTGGCTGGCTGGCTGGCTGGCTGGCTGTGTGTGGCTGGCTGGCTGGCTGGCTGGCTGTGTGTGGCTGGCTGGCTGGCTGTGTGTGGCTGGCTGGCTGGCTGTGTGTGGCTGGCTGGCTGGCTGTGTGTGGCTGGCTGTGTGTGGCTGGCTGGCTGGCTGGCTGGCTGGCTGCCTGGCTGGCTGGCTGGCTGTGTGTGGCTGGCTGGCTGGCTGGCTGGCTGTGTGAATGGCTGGGCTGGCTGGCTGGCTGGTGGCTGTGAATGGCTGGCTGGCTGGCTGGCTGGCTGTGTGTGGCTGGCTGGCTGTGTGTGGCTGTGTGTGGCTGGCTGGCTGGCTGGCTGTGTGTGGCTGGCTGGCTGGCTGGCTGGCTGGCTGTGTGTGGCTGGCTGGCTGTGTGTGGCTGGCTGGCTGTGTGTGGCTGGCTGGCTGTGTGTGGCTGGCTGGCTGGCTGTGTGTGGCTGGCTGGCTGGCTGGCTGTGGCTGGCAGTGGCTGGCTGGCTGTGTGTGGCTGGCTGGCAGTGTCTATCTGTGTCTGTCGGGCACCAGGGAGTCGCTTTGAGTATTTTCTAGAGTGTGGCATGGTGCTGCAGAAAAGAGGTGGGGTATCCCAGCCTACCCGAGGCCAGGCTTGACTTGTGAGAGCTTGGTCCAACAGGCTGTTGCTTGGAGCGGCCTGCACGACAAACATACCCCACAGCCCGGTTGGTCCGACACTTCTTACAGAAAGCTATCTAGTTTTCTCTTGAAGATGTCCTCCTGCTGCATCTTACGAGGCCAAAAGAGCCACAGTAGCAGGGTAGGGGGGGTGAAAAACACTACCCATGGTCGTCCTGTTCATTGTGAGATGAACGGATCACACCACCATTCACCATTGCCGGAACAACCGTGGACATTTTCAAGAGGAAACTAGATTTATTCCTCCAAGGAGTGCCGGACCAACCGGGCTGTGGTGGGTATGTGGGCCTGCGGGCCGCTCCAAGCAACAGCCTGGTGGACCAAACTCTCACAAGTCAAGCCTGGCCTCGGGCCGGGCTGTGGTGGGTATGTGGGCCTGCGGGCCGCTCCAAGCAACAGCCTAGTGGACCAAACTCTCACAAGTCGAGCCTGGCCTCGGGCCGGGCTTGGGGAGTAGAAGAACTCCCAGAACCCCATCAACCAGGTATCAACCAACCAGGTATCATTCAACAGTTGAGTGGCACGTGTCCCCGCCCCCACTAATATTTTGTGTGGGGGCTGAACATCCATTTACACGTTATAAGGTGATGTTCATTTGGCCATTCGTCGTTGTTCAATGGTCTACCGGTGGAGGTATTGGTCAAACTGAATACTTGCATATGGTGATAGATCCAAGCTGAAATAGCTAAGCACTAATTTACATGTATCATACTAGATGGGGTACCTAGGGGACAATGAAGTTCTTCGGACTAGTTCTTAGTTCTGGGACTAGCCTAGTGGCATACATCTGGACTTTTACCTGTTTCGTCTTGTGCTTGACTAGATACGGGCTCCATGCTCCAGGATTGGTTTTACATATGTGGTATACAAAGTTCTGTATGTGTGTGTGTGTGTGTGTGTGTGTGTGTGTGTGTGTGTGTGTGTGTGTGTGTGTGTGTGTGTGTGTGTGTGTGTGTGTGTGTCTGTGTCTGTCTGGGTCGCGTGATTCACTCTCTCTCCCCCTCTCCCACTTTCGCTCTCTCTCTCTACTTTCTCTGTCAACATGCAAAGACAACATAACATTTTTACAATTGTTACTCTGATATAACATTGTAACAACTCTGGGATTACATTGTGTGTGTTAACAGCCAAAAAAAAACATTGAAAAACTCTCTATAAAACCAAATAATCATTATAGACTTAATTGGATTCATTGGAAGTCAAAAAAAGGAGCCAATCCCTCTTAAACCGGGGCAATGCAGGCGACCCCTGACCTGCCTACGACACTCCCACACCACACACGTGTCAGCCACAAAAGTTGGACAAATGAAAACCCCAACGTATATATGGCTTCAGGCCTCGAACAGGCATGTAATACACCTGAATGATTCTTGTCAACACTGTACAGTTAAATGATGAACATGTTCATCATTCTGAACAGCCAACAACACCACCAAACAACAGTGTAGCCACCACCAACACCACCAAACAACACAGTGTAGCCACCTCCAACACCACCAAACAACACAGTGTAGCCACCTCCAACACCACCAAACAACACAGTGTAACCACCAACAACACCACCAAACAACAGTGTAGCCACCTCCAACACCACCAAACAACACAGTGTAGCCACCACCACCAACACCAAACAACACAGTGTAACCACCACCAACAACACCAAACAACACAGTGTAACCACCAACAACAACACCACCAAACAACACAGTGTAACCACCTCCAACACCACCACCAAACAACACAGTGTAACCACCTCCAACACCACCAAACAACACAGTGTAACCACCACCAACACCACCAAACAACACAGTGTAACCACCACCAACACCACCACCAAACAACACAGTGTAACCACCTCCAACACCACCAAACAACACAGTGTAACCACCTCCAACACCACCAAACAACACAGTGTAGCCACCTCCAACACCACCAAACAACACAGTGTAACCACCAACAACACCACCAAACAACAGTGTAGCCACCTCCAACACCAAACACAGTGTAACCACCTCCAACACCACCAAACAACACAGTGTAACCACCACCAACACCACCAAACAACACAGTGTAACCACCTCCAACACCACCAAACAACACAGTGTAACCACCACCAACACCACCAAACAACACAGTGTAACCACCACCAACACCACCAAACAACCCAGTGTAACCACCACCAACACCACCAAACACAGTGTAACCACCTCCAACACCACCAAACAACACAGTGTAACCACCACCAACACCACCAAACAACAGTGTAACCACCACCAACACCACCAAACAACAGTGTAACCACCACCAACACCACCAAACAACAGTGTAACCACCACCTCCAACAACACCAAACAACACAGTGTAACCACCACCAACACCACCAAACAACAGTGTAACCACCAACAACACCACCAAACAACAGTGTAACCACCAACACCACCAAACAACACAGTGTAACCACCAACACCACCAAACAACACAGTGTAACCACCAACAACACCACCAAACAACAGTGTAACCACCAACAACACCAAACAACACAGTGTAACCACCACCACCACCACCAAACAACAGTGTAACCACCACCAACACCACCAAACAACAGTGTAACCACCACCAACACCACCAAACAACACAGTGTAACCACCTCCAACACCACCAAACAACACAGTGTAACCACCAACAACAACACCACCACCAAACAACACAGTGTAGCCACCAACACCACCAAACAACACAGTGTAACCACCAACAACACCACCAAACAACACAGTGTAACCACCAACAACAACACCACCAAACAACACAGTGTAACCACCACCAACACCTCCAAACAACACAGTGTAACCACCACCAACACCACCAAACAACACAGTGTAACCACCACCAACAACAACAAACAACACAGTGTAACCACCAACACCACCAAACAACACAGTGTAACCACCTCCAACACCACCAAACAACACAGTGTAGCCACCAACAACACCACCAAACAACACAGTGTAACCACCAACACCACCAAACAACACAGTGTAACCACCACCAACACCACCAAACAACACAGTGTAACCACCAACACCACCAAACAACACAGTGTAACCACCTCCAACACCACCAAACAACACAGTGTAACCACCAACAACAAACAACACAGTGTAACCACCACCAACACCACCAAACAACACAGTGTAACCACCTCCAACACCACCAAACAACACAGTGTAACCACCAACACCACCAAACAACACGGTGTAACCACCAACACCACCAAACAACACAGTGTAACCACCAACACCACCAAACAACACGGTGTAACCACCAACACCACCAAACAACACGGTGTAACCACCAACAACAAACAACACAGTGTAACCACCAACAACAAACAACACAGTGTAACCACCAACAACAAACAACACAGTGTAACCACCACCAACACCACCAAACAACACAGTGTAGCCACCAACACCACCAAACAACACGGTGTAACCACCAACAACAAACAACACAGTGTAACCACCAACAACAAACAACACGGTGTAACCACCAACAACAAACAACACAGTGTAACCACCACCACCAAACAACACAGTGTAACCACCAACAACAAACAACACAGTGTAACCAACACCACCAAACAACACAGTGTAACCACCACCAACACCACCAAACAACACAGTGTAACCACCAACAACAAACAACACAGTGTAACCACCAACAACAAACAACACAGTGTAACCACCAACAACACCACCAAACAACACAGTGTAACCACCAACAACACCACCAAACAACACAGTGTAGCCACCAACAACAACACCAAACAACACAGTGTAACCACCAACAACAACAACAAACAACACAGTGTAACCACCAACAACAACAACAAACAACACAGTGTAACCAACAACACCAAACAACACAGTGTAACCACCACCAACACCACCAAACAACACAGTGTAACCACCAACAACAACACCAAACAACACAGTGTAACCACCAACAACACCACCAAACAACACAGTGTAACCACCAAACCAACACACAACACAATGGAGGCAGCGCAGCAAAATTCAAAATTCAAAAAAATTTGAATTTTTTAAAATTTGAAAGTGTACTGACCGCAGTGTTTGGGGTCCTCGTCGGAGCCGTCCTCACAGTCTGGCTCAGAGTCACACTGCCAGCGGTGAGGGATGCACTTGCCGTCGCCACAGCGGAACTCTGTCTCCTTGCACTTCTTCTCTGTAAGGAAATAAGGATAATAATATCATTACGTGTTCCACTTGCTAGTTGACATGTACAGTAATTGTATGTTACACGCAGACACTAATTACGCTCAGTGGTTTTCGGGTATAAATTGGCTGTTCGTCTGTGACTCTTGAAAGAATTTAGCGGTTACTCACTAAAATCTATAGCGACAACCTATTGTACCTTTTTTTTTTAAAGATAAATTATATAAAATAATATTTTGCTATTTAAATGAGTTGTATACTGGAGGCTACCGTACCACCTGGAGGCCACCAGGCTACGTACCACCTGGAGGCCACCAGGCTACGTACTGGAGTGAACGATATGGAAGAAAATGCAGAATAGAACCAGTGAAGAGCTGAGGTGCCATAGGCACAATCAGAGAACACTGTATAAACATCAGAGGTCAGCGGTTGTTCAACAGTTCTATTCACACACGGGAGACATCTCCCGTCACGCAGGGTGCAGTCGCACCTCCACAGATCTCCAGTATCAGCTCTTGATACTGGTAATGGCTCAAAAGGGCCACCACTTACGGGCTATTCATGCCCGTGCCACCTTTTGGGTGGCTTAATCTTCATCAATCAATCAATCAATCAATCGGTTGTTCAACGTCCTCCCAGCGAGCATCAGAAATATTGCCGCAACAACGGTGGACATCTTCAAGAGAAAACTAGATTATTCTCTAAAAAAAAAAAGTGCCGAACGAACCGGGCTGTGGTGGGTATGTGGGCCTGCGGGCCGCTCCAAGCAACAGCCTGGTGGACCAAGCTCTCACAAGTCAAGCCTGGCCTCGGGCCGGGCTGTGGTGGGTATGTGGGCCTGCGGGCCGCTCCAAGCAACAGCCTGTTGGACCAAGCTCTCAAGTCAAGCCTGGCCTCGGGGAGTAGAAGCAGATACCACCGTAGAATGTAAGGCTGGAAAATAATGTAATTTACTGTGCAGTCGGCCGCGAAGACCTGTTCTCATCTAGTTGTGCTTGTGCGGGTTGAGCTTCGACTCTTTGGTCCCGCCTCTCAGCTGTCCGTTGACTCAGGAACCGGTGTACAGGTTCCTGAGCATATTTGGGCTCTATCATATCTATACTTGAAACTGTATATGGAGTCAGTCTCAACAACATCATTGCTTCGTGAATTCCATTTGTTAACTACCCTGACTCTGAAAATGTTCTTTCTAATGTCTCTGTGGCTCATCTTTGGTACTAAATTTCCACTACTTGTTTCCCCTTGTGCGAGTACCACCCGTGTTATATACCCGACCACTCACGGGTAAAAAGTCCAATAAACCAGGCCGAGGGCCATGCGCCATCCCCATCCTGACTTGGGCACTCTTGATATATCCCGGCAAGGAGTTTTTATCTTACTCGGCAGCCCAACGCCAGCGAAGTGGATGAAAAGACATTCCCAGAAATTCGCGGGAAACTGTAGGAGCCTCCGACGCTATGTCCCCCCACTCGGTTCCATTAGGCTAGAGCCGAGTTCTAGTTCTCAGTTCTGGTCAAGGTACAGCCGCCAACACTATCCCGGGTCAGAACCAATCCTCCGCCGCCCTCCTGCCAGAACTTTTAATAGCGAACAAACAAGACTCAGAGATCAGCTTCCACGTATCTTGGCGCGCAAACTTGCCAGGGCGAACAAACAAAAGAGGATCGGAATTCCTCTTGTTAAAGATTTCCCGCATCTCGGCCAGCAAGTAAACTCCAGCAAAGAACGGGACAAAGACGGCCAAAATGCGCACAAACATTTACGCAGCTATTTACGAAATCTTTACATCTTTCCTCTAAAGTCCTTATTTATTAAACGGTTGACGAGCTTCGAAATTTCGCAATCCAAGATTATTATTGTTACAGACAATCTGGTAGCGCTTTGGCACTCGAGCTGTTTAATAAATGTAAACAAAGCCGCCTTGACTGAGGGAAGATGTAAAGGTTTCGCCAATGCTTTACGAATTCTGGCCCCTGGGACTCTTCGAGCCATCTAGATGATCCGAAGACTAAAAGTGTGAAATTACAATGTGTTGGGTTCCCTTATCTTACCTGGATCTTACCTGGAGTGAGTCTCGAGAGTTATTGTACTCCACACGCCCAGCCTGAGGCCAGGCTTGACTATATTGCTAAAGCGGCCCCGCTGACTTGCTTATACGTACAGCCTGGTTGCTCCAACACACACACACACACACACACACACACACACACACACACACACACACACACACACACACACACACAGGGAGGGGTCCCCCACTGCCGAGGGGGCCCTGGTAGCTTGGTGGATAGTGTGCAGGACTCGTAATTCTGTGGCGCGGGTTCGATTCCCGCACCAGGCAGAAACAAATGGGCACAGTTTCTTTCACCCTGAATGCCCCTGTTACCTAGCAGCAAATAGGTACCTTGGAGTTAGTCAGCTGTCACGGGCTGCTTCCTGGGGTGTGTGGGGTGTGGAAGGGAAAAAAATGTAGTTAGTAAAAGTTGATAGTTGAGAGGCGGGCCGAAAGAGCTAAGCTTAACCCCCGCAAGCACAACTTGGTAAATATAACTAGGTGAATACACACACACACACGATGAGATTGAGATAAAAGCTGATTATGTACTCTACGTCTCCCACGAGGCACCGCTCCTGTGCCAGGTAAGTCCACTACGGGCTCACCATAGCCCGTGCTACTTGCCCCGCTCCTGTGCCAGGTAAGTCCACTACGGGCTCACCATAGCCCGTGCTACTTGCCCCGCTCCTGTGCCAGGTAAGTTACGGGCTCGCCATAGCCCGTGCTACTTGGAACTTGTTCCGAGTAGCTGAATCTATAACAACATCTACGTCTCCAGTCCGGACAATAACATTGGGCCAGATTCACGAAAGCACTTACGAACCTGTAAATCTTTTCTCAATCTTTGGCGGCTTTGTTTACAATTATTAAACAGTTAATGAGCTCCGAAGCACCAGGAGGCTGTTTATAACAATAACAACAGTTGATTGGGAAGTTTTCATGCTTGTAAACTGTTTAATAAATGTAACCAAAGCCGTCAAAGATTGAGGAAAGATGTACACGTTCGTAAGTGCTTTCGTGAATCTGGCCCCATTATCTCCAATTGTCAACAACTGTTGTTCAATAACACACGCGCGCGCGCGCACTAGACAAAGAGACGGCTGGGGGCTGATGCGACCTCATCCCCGCAACATTTTAAAGTAGATATGTTTAAAAAGACATGTACTTCTACCTACCACGGCGGTGAGATTCCTCGAACATCTACGCACTTGCGAAGCCTCTCCATCTTTCCTGAATCATGGCGGATTTGTTGACGTTTATTAAACAGTTTACAGGCTTGGAAACTCCACAACCCGAGGTTAGTATTGTTTTAAACACCCTCGTAGCGCTTCCTATCTCAAGTAACAGTTTAATAAAGGTAAAACACTGCCGCTATATGAAGAGAGATGTACAGGTTTCGTAAGGGGGATGCGTAAATGCTTGATAAATCCTGGGACTCATTGCACGAGGTGGCAAGCAGTTGGAAAAGATGGGGAGGAGGGTTCGAGAGCTGAAGCTCTACCTCCAGGCACACATAGTAGCGTACACACACACACACACACACACACACACACACACACACACACACACACACACACACACACACACACACACACACACACACACACACACACCATTCGGAAGTGATGTGGTGGAGACAGACTCCATACACAGTTTCACGTGTACATATAATAGAGCCAAATAGGCTCAAGAACCTGTACACCTGTTGATTGACGGTTGAAAGACGGGACCAAAGAGCCAGAGCTCAACCCCCACGCACGCCTATATCTGCTCCAGCCTTTTAGGAATCGCTACATTCCTTCGCCTGCGCTCATCCACCTTCAAATCTCATTTCCATACTAATACGAACACGTACGCCTTCATTTGCCTACGAATCTCCCTAAAAGGAGGCATAACAGAGGCTTGGAGGCGTTGAACAGCGCTCTTCCCCGCCTACAGTCTTCATCTTACCAATACTTTAAGGAAATGTCCTGGTTAGCCTAACACATTCAAATTCCTCTTTGACTGCTTGGGGAAGACGTTCCGGTTCGTCTGTCAGTGGAACATTCCCGATACACCATCGCTCGGAAAATATACATAGCGGGGGTATGTAAAACTATTTAGCGCCATTTTCTGTCAACCGTTTTTTGATAGCGCGACGTTGATTGGATGATGGTATATTTTTACTTTTTGAATGATCGATGCTGATTGGCTGATGGCATATTTTTACTTTTTGAATGAGCGATGCTGATTGGCTGACGGCACATTTACTTTTTGAATGCGCGATGCTGATTGGCTGAGGGCATATTTTTACTTTTTGAATGCGCGATGCTGATTGGCTGATGGCATATTTTTACTTTTTGAATGAGCGATGCTGATTGGCTGATGGCATATTTTTACTTTTTGAATGCGCGATGCTGATTGGCTGAGGGCATATTTTTACTTTTTTGAAAGCGCGATACTGATTGGCTGAGGGCATATTTTTACTTTTTGAATGCGCGATGCTGATTGGCTGATGGCACATGTAGCCTGCGTACCTCCTGGAAACAACGCGAGCAACAGTAGCAAATATATTAACAAAACCCCAATTGTTTACCTTTGCTATAAGACAGTTACGATAACAAAACAAACGCAACAAAAGCCGCCAAATCAAAAAGCAAACAAACAAAACGGCAAACAATACGTCCAGCAACATCCAGCAACAAAAATACAAAGACAAAAGCGACAAAGACAAAGCCTCTACACACCTCCAGGCGAGGTACAATATTTTTGTTGTAATTAGGAACGTCAAAAGAAATGGTCACAACGATTTAATATTCCGGACAAAATGAGGAGTTGGGAGGGGGAGGGGGGGGTGTTAGGGGGAGAGAGGGGGGGGGGGTAGGGGAGAGAGAGAGGGGGGGGTAGGGGGAGAGAGAGGGAGGGGGTGGGAGAGGGAGAGACCGGGGGGGAGGTTGGGAGGGAGAGAGAGAGGGGGGGGGGGGG